CATGTCTGGGACATGATAGGTCCCAGGCTCTTGAATTTGCAACACCCTCCACAGACTTCAGCAGCTCTTACTCACGAAGGTACAGTAGCCTGGTATGAGATCAACAGGATATCGAGTGACAAAAAAAGGTAAACACCTACGTATGTTTATCCGATTTTAACTGACTTCAGGAGCTGGTTCAATAATGTGTTGAGGATATTAAGTTTGCTTCAAATGTTCACAAATTTATTGGACATCTATTCATAGGAGGTTATTCTCATTGTCAGAAACTCTCCATGCCGTGCTGGATTTGATTTTATAACGATCCAAATATATGGTAATGACAAGCTTCTGGTGATCCCTCGTTCTAAGAAAGGCCGCTATGAAGCGACGTTGAAAGTCTTAGCATTTCAGTTTTCTGGCTTGCAACTATGTACAAAGCTCCGATTTGGTGCCGGTCGCGGTCTGGGAAGCATCGCCGACGCTGTCGAAATTGAGAGTGCCCGCCAATCTGGGGGCCACGGTTAGGCTGCCCATGGCCGTTCCTTTGCCATGGCTGCCCGCAGTCGGGTCTTGGCGAGACCTCGACCGGTATCACATATCCCAGCCACGCAATACAGAGCCACACCGACCGCCACGGTGTTTCGCGATTACGGCCTGCGGCGCTTCTGACGAATTGTGAATTACAAATTCATTCCCGTTAAACAGGGATGGATCGGGCCTGGTGAGGTATTACACAAATCGCAAAAATGTTATCTCTGTACTTCAAAACCATTAACCGTAAAAGTATGAATTTCAGAGTCAAGTTTGCGGTTTTCGTGTGCTGCAAAATATTGCAATTACGATTTCCGTATTCAGCGACAGAAACTATTCAAAATTCAATTGCTTCCACCCACAGTGTCTTACCTCTATTCAGGTTACTACAACGATGGAAGGTCTCGAAAAACTCGCAGCAACGAGGACTGAGCGCTCCTCATTTCGTTCGTAGCGCTAACTCATGGTTACCCTGGGGCTATAGCATTCTGGCCCTGCCTTAGGGATCCACCCGGTGTTACCTCCACGTTCGACAATCAGAGACCGTCTATCACCGGACCTATCACAACATCCATAGCCAAGAGAAAAATTCGTTTGGGAATTCGAAAACGAGCTGCTCACGGTGGCTGATTAGTTGACCCATAACGTCTACCACTACGTCACCGCTGCTGCCATGTCATGGTTATAAGATGTATATATAGTCTGAATATCAGTGTTCAGAGTAATCTTTGTAAACCTGCAAAGGACCTAGAAACGTATGTTTCTTTTAATTACTCAGTCAATATCGCACTCTCAAAAAGTTTTATGTCTGCGCGCGTATACTATATCTAAAAACTTTACAAGCATCATCAAACCGCAGAAAAAGCCACTTGAACTTTTACCGCCTCTTAAAATTTCATGCCAATAGTTTTAAAATATGCAGTGTCCAATCCTCTTGTGAAGTTAGCTTCAAAATGATATATATGGGATAGATGCCATCATTTTAATATTTGAATGACATTACGGAGGTCAATAATATGCCAGCCATACTCACAAAAGGGACCTACATTCATGTAACTCTAATTACTACTTATAGAAACAAAGTCCCTATATTTTACCTGTTCATAATAAGGTGCAGCTCTAAGATGCTATAGCGCTCCGCTGACAACTTATCAAGTTAATAATGTTTTACTGCTAGTCTAACGTCTTGCTTTTATCTAGTTTACATATAAAGCGCTTTTCAAACAGGTCCCCACCTGCATTTTGAGCGGGTCAAGTTGGCTAACTGAAGCTCTTTATATAAATAGTGCACTGTAGCGTAAAACTTCTCTAAATGAGAGGAACTAAAATTAATGCATAATTTGAAGCTCCTTACAGATGCTTTGTAACCTTATAATACAAAAGCAGAACTGATAAGAAAAACAAAATTTTCAACTGACACTTTTACGATGAATCAGTTCCATTCCCCAAATTTCAGTTTGCTAACTTGACCTGTTTACGAACAAGTTGGAGGTCGTCATTTTTTAACATCTACTATATTATAGTAAGCGAGCTAACTGTATGAGACATTTAGAAGCTGTTGTTCTATCATTTCCATATAATTATACTAACAGCGTCAAAAATCAGTCTACAGTCAGCAAGAAAAATTGATTCTACAAGCTAGAATCCTTTTATGAACAGGCTTGAACAACGGTGCCGTAATCCTTTTCAAGAAACTACGTGTTCTTTCAGCGATGAATAGCCTCGGCAAAGCGACTGCTCCGAAGGACGTAAGAGGAGACTCGACCTCTTAGTGACCGTACTATTATTATTTGGTATGCTTTGATCAAAAGAAATCAGCATAGCTCGGGGGTCCGGTCCTAACAGAATTCTTTTGGTGCTTTGAATCGATACCGCTCTTTGCTAAATTATTATTGGCGTCTCGTACGCAAGCCGAACAAAAGGACTGATCCGAAAAGAGTCATAAAAAACAAATCGCCAGAGCTTTTATGCCAATTATTGTTTTTTTTACCGTCGGATTGCAGTCCGCAAATTTCGTTTGTGTACAGCAATCACCAAAAATACGAGTTACTTAAAGTTTTCCACACGTTAAGTTCAAGGAATTATTAGATCAGTACGGATGTACTTTGTTTGAATAAGCCAAAGTTCAAAATCTTAAAAATTGACCATCGGAATAGGGCGATAATGAGGACAGAAATCTACAAAAGCTCGTATTTAAATACGAGCTAGACAAAGCGAAAAAACTATTTTTTGGCTCCGGCTAAAGTTATGTTTAGGTTCTTTGAAATATTTTGAGTAAAAAAGGTCGCTAGCAAGTTTCCTCCACGGTTGACCGTTTTCAAATAATAAGCAACTTAATCCCGGGAAAACCCTAAAGATGGCCATTTTCAATGCTTAAAGACTCGGTCAAAAATCATTATTTTTGATGTTGCCAAGTGTCAACTTTCCTCTACAAGACCCCGAATAATATTATTAAATCAGTTTATTTTAAATGATTGTTAAGAACGCTCTATGGAGTTCTCGCGCACCTCTCCATCATACGGAATATTCCGTTCAAAATAATCCATAGGAACTAAAAAAACTCTTTCCATAAAGACATCGAGTTGGAAAATTTCCCCCACGAATGCGAAGTTTTTGCAATGTCTAAGTTGGAATCCATCGTATATGCAAACTAAAAATCGCTTTTTTTATTCCATCTATGTTTTGACTTCGGACATGAAAACTGAAGCATACTTAATACCGTTAATAACACAAAAGTTTCAGTATTAAGTATTTTGGTCCCAACGATTAGACCTATTCAGCAATTTGATCGAGTCCTCAAGGTTGCATCGGCTGTATTCAGTGTTACCAGAAATCCCATACGTCGTGTTTTACATGGGATCAGAATTAAATGCTTTATAAATATCAGACTATATAGTAGATCTCTTCGTTTCTAGCTACAAAACAACTATTACAAATCCAGGCAGGTAGACAGATTTTATATGGTTCACGTAAAAGTTATACGTCAAGGTCGCAAGCCCGTACAGTTGGTATTCAAATCAACCAAAAAGAGAAACCCAAGTATTTAATAACTTTGGTACAGAAACTGGCTTAACGCTCATCGTATTTTTCAATTTTAGACCTCTCCGCTATGTTCCATTTGTTATCGCTGGACAAATTCCGGTTCATACAAGACATTAATGAGTTGTTTATGAATATGAAACATGCAAGTACTAATGTATTTCAGCAATAAAGGTTGTATAGCAATAATTAAGCATACGGTGAGATCTCCTCTTCATTAATATACATGGGCAGCTAGAACAACCTTATATCGAATGGGTTATAACCGACACGAATATTTCATCAGTCGCAGTAGCTTAGATGAGGTTTCTAATTATAAAAAATGTATTCGTGTGGGAAAAATCGACTGCTACACACCCGTATGCAGTTAACAAGATGACACCTCCTACCCGAACGCGATTTGAGTTCTTTATTGAGGGAGGAGTGACTAACTGGTTGCTAGGATCACCGCCTTTAGGCACCTCTAGGTCCCTATCATCTCATCCGTAGAAATTCATCGGGTAACGATAGAACCATAAAAGGACAACGCTTTCCCAGAATGTATTTTCATAAGCCTAATATAAAATTGGCGTATTTGTTATACGCCGCTCCGTACGGACATCTTTAACCTAATTCTGGAAGAATGTATTCAATCAATGAAGCACTTTAAATGAAATTCAATTGCCGCTAAAACCGGAAGACCGTTCGATCAGAAAACAGGAAGTTATGGGTAGTATATGCACTCTAAACGTTTTTTACAACCAGAAGTCTAGTGCGCTGTAACAGTTGGTACAGTTTCCCTGTCAGAACTGTTCTGAACTCCCGCGGTTCTAATTTTTGCTTCACGAAGAGCTGATGTCATTTGCGATCCAGTTAACATATCAGCCAATTACGAAAAATGTATAACTGGCGATACTTCTAGTGGCAGTGATACTTAATGTGAATAATCAAAATTTTCCAGACTAGGCGGAAACGCCCCACTAGTAGCTGGGAGAAATATTCCGACCAGATTTTTGTTTGTTTATTGGATGCCTCTCAACAAATATCAAGAGACTGTCAGGTAACCAGTTGCTTTGTTCAAACAATTTTTCAGAGATTACAGATTTAAAAATGGTAAACTTAAAAGCTTAAAAACTTTGTAGCTACATTAGAGCGACGCGTGCGTGAATCATAGGGTATTTTTAACTTATGCTTTAAAGTAAAACTTTTGCAGACTACTACCGAAAACGGTCATTCCATAGAACAGTTACCAAGGACCTCTTTTGTTCAAAATAATTCGAAAAAGTGGTGAGAAAAAAATGTTTTTTTGTAATTTTTTAAAAAAAATTAACAAATGCTTTGGCAATCTCTTGATTCTTGTTATGGGCATTCAACAAGACTAGCTATGGAAAAGTAGTGTTGGAGAATTACTTGTCCATAGGTATAAATTTAAACAGTAGTGTAAGAATGAATGCTTTTGGGTTACTTACCTCTTGCACACAGCGTGATAAGCGTTTTTGCATGACTAATAACCATATCGTAACTGATGTGCCAACTGTCTTCTAACGGTAGCCTATTGAGGAGGTGTTTGAGGAAATCGTGTGGTGTAACGGCAGCTACATCCCACTTTAATTTACTTAAGACTAGAAGTTCCCAATTCTGCAAGAAAAAAATATTTTTAAATACCACTAACCTTCATGCAAACGTCCCTACCTTCCAGTTTATAATATTTTTATATAAATAAATTGCTAGTCTCGAATTATTTGTACGACATTAAGTACGTATGCAACTTCTAAATTTCAGATGTAATAATGAAGTATTATCATTTTTAGTTAATTGATTTTTGCATGAGCTGCGTAACTATAAAATGTTTTTTGATTTACGGAAATTACAAGGATATCTAATGAGTTAAGATTAATGTAGAATACTTAAAAATGTGTTAAAACAATATTTTTGGTCACATATTTGAGAACATAATTACAAAAAAATACTTAGTTACCTTGCGAACTGTGTGTCTAACCTAGTGGATCATTTACTTTAAAACAATAGCACGGACCTCAACATGTCTTATAGTGATGATTTATTATATACTTTATCATTTTCAAAATCACTAAAGAATAAATGAAACGCATTTTATTGTAGCTAAGTGCAAAGTCATAACATTAGTATTGTATTGTACTTATTAGGTAATTTCATCTGGCAGCAAAAAGCAGCACCTGATTCATAGACACTTTCGGCAAAAAGTTCAGCCTTGTAATAAATAGAGCAACAACCGAGTAAAATTAGAGACTTCGCACCAGTCGCAGGGGGCTCAAATAGGGGAGTTTTTGGCAAACCAGTTTTATATTCAATTTAACCTCGCGCCAAGGATTAATAATGTGTATGTACAATAACATAACTCTAGAGTTAATAAACCTCATGCTAAAAATAGCATGTGTGAATATTTTACACTATAAAATTGTTACGTCAGGGCTAAGGTAGAAAGGTGTAGGACGGGTATAAATAGAATTCAAAGATCAGTGATCTATCTTCCACAAAAAATATTCCGTAAAGTACAGATAAATAGATGTTATATTTGTCGATCTCTTTTTATTTGTTTATACATCGCCTCACTGTCGTAAGTCATAAGGTGTTACTGACCTTCTGTTAAGACAAGGTCTCAAGTCCTATCGTGCAATTGATATTTATTGTATGATGTGCTGCTTGCTCTCTTGCTTCCATTGAAGGCAGTACTTCTGCCACTTCTGGGCATAGTATCAATAAGCTTTTTCTCAACCTACTTCCCACGCCACACTGGTTTTAGTTCTTTTGTTCATTGTGTTCTTGTCGTAGTCGAATTATTATATTTGTTGTTTTACTCTTCTTAGGTGTGAAACATCTTTTGATTATTTGTTTCATTGCTCAGAACTACCGGAATCGATAAAAGCAATCAATTCGTACTGAATCGTGTTCCCAGATATGGGCTATGTAAGACGCTCTTTCCAGAACAGGTCGAGGTTTTGGGAAGTCCGGTAATTTGATTTGCTGGTCTGGTTTCTCACTCTCACACGGCGAATCCTTCCGAACAGGCCGAACGAGTCTTCTTCTTTTCTCCGGTACACATTCCAATCAAGTCAGCCTTCACCCTCCTCGTTTTGCCTTTGCTGATAACCGTCACCAGTGGCGGGTTTATAAAACTACATGTGTAACTTTATGTACCTACAGCTCAGTGTAAATGGACAAGAATTCATTTCAGAGCATTCCAGAAACCTTTCGATACTTATTAACGATCGTCGGTACTGAACAGATGGAGATCAAAGTTTAAAAACAGTGACGATGGACCTGTTGAATATATATCTCAACTCGCTCAGATCAAAGCTTGTTTCTAAAGTCGATGAAATTTCAGAAAAGATTATTTTATCTCTTGACGAGTTTCTGAACTTCAATGTTTCCATGATACAGAGCTTGAAGGCTTATGAAAACATTTTTTATTGATAAAATCTCAAGCGTCTTGATTTACAAAATGTTCAGTCACCTCCTCCAGTCAAGATGCAACACTCCAACCCCTGTCACTACTAATAGAATACTGGAATCTTAAAATCTTGGAAGTAAAAAGATAATCGGATTTTTTTTCCTTTTATTAAGTTAATAAGCAGTTTAGTGTGAAGTGAATCAATATAATCTAATGAATGGAAACTGAAGTTTTTTTTAACTTGTGAGACCATATGCATTAAGCAGGATCGCTTTAGCGACACATAACTTACTGTGGCAGGAAAGAGACGTAAAAGAGCACGAAGGCAGTTGACAACGCAACTATAAAAAGCAGTAGATATAGCCATATATGTGGCAATGGTTCATCAATAAATTCCTGGATGATCAGCGATCAATTGTGCCGCTGGTACCCAGTAAAGCTCCATTGGCGTTAATAAGTAATTAGTGGCAGTAACTTTACCTGTTTGGTTCTTGTCCACTAGCGATGCACGAAACAAAGTTGTTTTACCTAAACGAAGGTAATTTTATAGTACACGAAATTGTCTGGCAGCTTACGCTGCTGTACAGGATCGGGTTAAGTTGCTGACAACGTATTCAAAGTACCAGAGAAAATTACATCATGTAGTCCCATGACTGCCTTTGTTCGTCATTCCATAAAGTTTTTTCAAGCATCACGCCCACTGAGGCGAAGCGATGCGAAGAGACCTCTGGCAAAATTTTTCATTGCACACGGCAAATGAAAGATGACGCTTTGATTTCTATCCTTCCAGTGAGGGGTCTCATTTCAGTATGTGTAAAGAGATTAGTGGCAAAGATCGCTTCTCTTATCTTTGCCTCCCTTTTTGTCAATCCACATGCATATTGAGAGTTGTTCATCTAAACTAGCGAAAAATGTAGCGCCATGAAGTTTACACTATCGAAAACCAGTGATCTCAAAATAGAGTCTCACATCTTGTTGCTGTCCGAATACTCTATATAATTTTACAGGAAAACATAGCTTAACCTCCCAATTGTAGTGGCTTTCTCTGGGCCGATGACTATCGGCTATCCATTTGCGATATCAGTGGAAAAAACAACCATGTTGCCTGCATATAGACAGGCAGCTTTTCAAGTAACACATACATCAATTTCACAAGGTGCATGTCTATTGAGGGGAGAGGAAGTGAAATGAAGAGATGCGAAACTCCTCCACTGGGATCCTTTACACATAATCAAATGAGAGTCCACAACATTGAAACGATACCAAGAGAAGCGACGTGTCAACTTGACGACAACTTCAGTGGGCATGCCGCTTTATACATTTATATTACTATTATTTCACCACTTTCTCTGTAGGATTCTCTGTAGTCAAGTAACAAAATTCAGGAGAACAACACAACTCGTCGCACGCTACTGCCAAAGAGGTGTGTCTTTGAGTACATATGTGTACAGATCTCACCGTACTCAAAGGCCTTAACACTTTGACAGTGACATACGATGAGTTATGATACACATTACGCTCGAACTCCGGCCCTGGCGACGAAATTGAATTGCTCGGTGCAGAGCGCCAAGGAAGGTTTTTACCGTTTAAGGTAAGACGCGCCTTTACAGACGTAGTGGCCTTCTGAAGGGCATGATACCCGGACAAGGAGTAAGCAACTTTTATTGGATAAAGTAATACTATCTGCAATGACATCACGAAACCGCGGCCATTGTGGGATCTATGTAACTCCTCGTTGATATTTGTGGAGACTAAAATTAAATATTTTGTAATAATGGAATAATTTCACAAGTCTGCACGAATTTTGAGTCATGCCAACGTTGTGAGTACCATAACTATGTTACCAATTAAAGAATTCCTCTTTGCTGAATAACTGAATGATTTTTCTGAACTTCAATGTTTCCATGATACCGAGCTTCAAGGCTTATGAAAACATTTTTTATTGATAAAATCTCAAGCGTCTTGATTTACAAAATGTTCAGTCACCTCCTCCAGTCAAGATGCAACACTCCAACAATAATGGAATAATTTCACAAGTCTGCATGAATTTTGAGTCATGCCAACGTTGTGAGTGCCATAACTATGTTACCAATTAAAGAATTCCTCTTTGCTGAATAACTGAATGATTTTGCTGAACAATTGAAGATGACACAAAAATGGAATCAACTAATGCTATGCACGAAATATAAAAAAAGAATTCTTGATTGTGATCTAATTGTATTTCTAATTTAGGCAAGATATTTCAATAGCTGTAAAACATCCAATAAAAGAACAAATCCTCTGATATTCTTTTCCTGGTATGATCGGTAAATATAATATATATATAATCTGAGAAAATTCATTCATGACGAGCAAACAACGCTTTCATTGAGCGCAACATTTCACATCTTCTTGTCACAGGAAGTTGGTGTAGATTAGTAATATCATTATCAGGGTGCCTTTGGCACAGACCGATGTATACATAAACAAATATTTGACGAGAACTGAAAATACACATCATTCCGGTACTCTGCTCAACCGAGAGGCATAAATTCACAACAATAGTACACGAAGCATAGAAAGGCCGAGATTAATTGGTATGATATGACATGCTTAGTATGAAGTGTCATCGTAACCAAGATCTTCCGAAATTTAGACATAAAATCGTCAGCAAAATACTGAGGGCGCACGATTTTTGTTTTATTGTTCTGTTATGATATTTATTTCGACTTTGCGCATTAGCAAGAGAATTTTCCGTTATCCGTTATCGAAATGCTACAGCTCCGTTAGTTACAGAGAATAGAGGATGGCTTATTTCGTAAGTCAGTAGACCTTCTCACTGTATACAAGGCCCAGATAAGACCTAGGCTCGAGTATTGCTCACAGGTTTGGGGTGTTGCGGCCCCGACTACATTATCCATGCTCGATGCTGTCCAGAGGAGGGCGGTCCGACTGATCGATGACTCTTCTCTAACTGGCAGTCTCGGGAGTCTTTCGCGCCGGGGGGCGGTCGGCGATCTAGCTCTTTTCTATCGCTACACCAACGGGCTTTGCTCCTTAGAGATCTCTTCCATGATGCCGCCGCGCGATGTACCTGCCAGACAGATCCGCCTGACTTTGGCGTCCCATTCTAACCGTGTCGAACTTCGTACGTCCAGAACTGGCCGATATGACCGCTCCTTTGTCTCGAGAATGTCGAGAGAAGAGGAAGCTTTTCCCAGTTCTACTA